CCCCTTCAGACCCAGAGACACCTTCCCTGGTGAGAGAAGCCAGCCCAATAAAAGGAACATTTTGCTAATGTTAACTGCCCCAGTCTGGGGACTTCTGCCTCAGCAGGACTCTGGATCCCGCTCGGTTTAGGCATGCTGATCAAAGCCCACCACATGTTTCACCTAGCTAAGCACTAGCTCAGTATCTTTAGCACTCCAGCCCATACACAAACTAACAGAAGCTGAACAAGCTCCACTCTTCCTCACTCCCACTTTTTTACAGCTTCTCTGCTAAGAGGGGCAACCCCAACATGGTGTTTTATTTGTTAGAAACAGGAGGTGCCAGGTCAGAGGGACTAAATGAAACCATCAGGGCATTTCTAGATACCCCCCTGAAGAGGAAAGACCAAGGCCAGAGATTCAGGTGGCTTTACACACCATACAGGTTTTTCTGTCTAAAAACAAGGTACACTGGGAACACAAACCTGCTCTCTTTATTCCGTAAGGTAGTTCAAACTTATCGCTCCCATGGAACTCCGCCACTCTGATAAAATCATTAGCACACAGGAACGGGTATATTTTGTCAACACTAATGAAGGGAGAAAGGAAGAAGTTTTAAAAATCCACATGATGTACTTGAATATGCCAGTAATTCGTGCAACTGCTTTTAAAAAAGCTTTCTTTATCCTACTTCAAGTATTATCAATTTTTAAAATAAGAAAAACACTCACGAACACAGGGAAAGATAGCAGGTGACAGAAAAGGGGAAGACTTTATAATGAAAAATACAGATAGAGCACGAGATAAAGTTATTTCTCTGCTAGCATAAGTTATATAGTCATTAAAACCGCATGACTGAAAGCTTACACCATAAACCAGCATATTTAAGAATACATAACCCAGGAAGACAATGAATAACTTCATGTTTGAAAAGTACACAACAGAGGCAGCAAGGAAAATTAAGAGTTATTATTACATTAGCTTTATGTGGCAAGGTTTTGGTAGGGGTAGGGGCTACAGGGGTGACTTCTGTGAGAAGCTGCTGGAAGCTTTCCTCATGTCTGACAGAGCCAATGCCAGCTGTCTCCAGGGGGGACCCGCTGCTGGCCAAGGCCGAGCCCATCACTGACGGTGGTAGCGCCTCTGGGATAACGTGTTTAAGAAGGGGGGAAAAAACTGCACAAGGGTGAATGCAGCTGGGGAGAGAAGTGTGAATATGTGAGAGGAACAGCCCTGCAGACACCAAGGTCGGGGAGAAGGAGGGGGAGGAGGTGCTCCAGGTGCCAGAGCAGAGGTTCCCCAGCAGCCCATGACAAGGCCAGCTGTCCCTCTGCAGCCATGGAGGGTCACAGGGGGCAGAAACCCCCCTGAAGCCTGAGGAGGGCCCCAAGATAGAGCAAGGGGATGCCTGAAGGAGGCTGTAACCCTGTGGGAAGCCCGTGCTGGAGCAGGCTCCTGGCAGGACCTGTGGATCCTGCGGCGAGAGGAGCCCATGATGGAGCAGGTTTGCTGGCAGGACCTGTGACTCCATGGGAAGCCTACATTGGAGCAGTCTCCTGGCAGGACCTGTGGATCCTGCGGCGAGAGGAGCCCATGATGGAGCAGGTTTGCTGGCAGGACCTGTGACTCCATGGGAAGCCTACATTGGAGCAGTCTGTTCCCAAAGGACTGCATCCCACAGAATGAACCCATACTGAAGCAGTTCATGAAGAACCACAGTCCATGGAAAGGACTCACATCAGAGAAGTTGGAGGAGGACTGTCTCCCGTGGGAGGGACCCCACACCACAGCAGGGGCAGGGTGTGAAGATCCTCCTCGAGGAGGAAGGATTGGCAGAGACAACGCGTGACAACCCCCATTCCCCATCCCCCTGCAGCACTGCTGGGGAGGAGGGAGAGAAAATCAGCCCAAGAAGAAGGGAGGGGTGGGGGAAGGTGTTTTTAAGATTTGATTTCCCATTATCTTACTCTGATTTGATTGGTAATAAGTTAAATCAACTTTCCCCTGTTTTGCCCATGACAGTAACTGCTGAGTGATCTCTTCCTGATCTTATCGTGACCCATGAGCTTTTCATTACATTTTCTCTCCCCTGTCCAGCTGAGGAGGGGAATGAGAGCAGTTTTTGGTGGGCACCTGGCCTCTAGCCAGGGTCAACCCACCACAATTATATATGGCAATTTATTTAATAAGATTTGAAACAAGGTACCTAAACTTGAAAATACCATTTCCCAAAGATGTCAGCTTACTTGAGATGCACTCCCACTCCAAACAAGTGGCACTTCATGGCTGTGTTGACAGTGTGGAGCAACAGGGGTATATCCGTACAGCAAAGTTCTCATGTTCACATTATACACACCCTGGGATTTTTTCTGACTCTGGACTAACCCTAGTAGGGCCCCACAGACTGAATGCCCCTTGGCAGCTGCAGTACACCCGGTGTGCTCCTGCAGTGCATCTTCTGGCTTAGCCAAAAGCCAGGTGTCTGGGAGGAGCCCAGCACACCAGCCAGGTCTGCCCTGCAGCGAGAAGCCTGGCACATGGGTATCACTGGAGGTTTGCCTCAAAAGAGCATTCTGCAAATTAGAACGTGACGTCATCACACCTTAAGCATCAAGATAGAAAGAATGGGTCACTTGCTTGGGAAGACAGTACCCACAGACAAGGGTTCTCTCATAGCAAGGAAGGGACTCTTGTTACCATATCTGGCAAGTGAATGAATAGTAGACCCAATCCTGTCACATGCTCCCATGCCCTTGGCTTCACCTTGGAGCTGAGCTGACACACGCTCACCGAACTGGTTGACTTCGTAGCCATCTTGCATACTAGGTGCTATATTAAGATGTTAACCCAGAAGTATACAGTCAGTGAGAAAATCTAGTGTTGTTCATAAATACCCACAGCCAGCACACGACTCGTTTCTCTATTAATACCTGCTTAAAAAAAACCCTCTCAGTTTCACAAATGAAGTATCTCACGATAAGCTCTACGTATTCAGAAGTTACTAACAGTAAAAACAAAGTAAAGCCAACAAGACACTGCAGCCCACACCCCAAGAACTGGGCCACAGGTTAACTAAGCCAGACCAGCTAATTTTGACAATCATGCACTAAACACCCCTATTAAATTTAGTAAGTCGCCTTGCTGTTCAAAAGCAGCTGGTATGCTTAAGACATAATAAATAATTTACCTGCTGCAAAGCGATTCTTAGTTCCAGCTCTTCTAGCTCTGGTTGCTTTCCAATAAATAATTCTGCCAGGTCAGAAATCTTTTCAACCTCCCGAGGCTATTGCCAAAGTGCCCTGACTAGATCTTCAGCTCACACAGACTGTCCCTGTAAAGGAGCTATGGAAGCATGTGAGAGGCTGTTGGGGCTCTGCACCTACCTTCTTCTCACTGAGGATCTCGGAGTTCCCTCTTGCCGCCCTGCTCAGGGCCAGCACTACCCTGCCGGGCCCAACACTGACAGTCTGGGCACACTCTGTGCACCAGGGACCTAGGATCACCCTTTTGGGCCAGGGACCTAACCAAAACTCAGTCTGCAGCACTGCTTCGGGCAGGACAAACCCGAGATCCTTCCACGTTGTTTAAAACACTAGCAGCACTGAACTAAAGCCTTGTCTTCCTGTACACAAAAAGGACCAAAAAAGAAGCAATGGTGGCTTTGCTTAGAGCTTTAAGATTCCTTCAGCCAGGACTTGGTCTGAACATCCTCCCAAGCTTTCTCAGGGCCATACTCAGTGTTTGGTCAGGTAAAACACTAAGCCAACAATATAGCCTGTCTGCTTCTGGCCCCGTAGCCCTTCCTTGATCTCTATTATTTCAGACTAAGACTTCTAAGATTTAACACAAAGAGGGTGGTGAGGCACTGGAACAGGTTGCCCAGAGAAGCTGTGGATGCCCCATCCCTGGAAGTGTTCAAGGCCAGGCTGGATGAGGCTTGGAGCAACATGCTCTAGTGGAAGGTGTCCCTGCCCATGGCAGGGGGGTTGGAACTGGATGGTCTTTAAGGTCCCTTACAACCCAAACCGTTCTGATTCTGTGATTCTATTACTTGTGCTTCTAATAACAAAATCTCCCAGTATTTCCTCACAAACATCTTGAATGCACTTTTGTAACCAGACACCTCTGTTGTTCTGGGTTGAAGCTCTTCATTTTGCCATATGACTGCTTCTTTACAGAGGAAGCTTTCTATGAGTACCTTAAAGCAGAAGATACCTACAGACAATTCAACAACACTACGAGATTAACAAAACCGTGTATAATCCCAAATTCCATTAAAATTAAAACTCTATTGAAGAGGAAGAATTTTATATCATTAAAGATTGGATGAATTTTTGCACATTTCATACTCCTCTTTCCAAATAAAAAGGAGATTTAAAAAACTTCTCTGGTCCCTCGTTGCTACAGAAATACTTAGCTACCAAAGAAATCTTTTAAGTCTAGGTTCTTAACAGCAGAATGACCGAGTTCCAGTCTTGGACACGACATCTTCTTTTACAGGAAAAACATGGCAAGTTAAAGATTGGATGAATTTTTGCACATTTCATACTCCTCTTTCCAAATAAAAAGGAGATTTAAAAAACTTCTCTGGTCCCTCGTTGCTACAGAAATACTTAGCTACCAAAGAAATCTTTTAAGTCTAGGTTCTTAACAGCAGAATGACCGAGTTCCAGTCTTGGACACGACATCTTCTTTTACAGGAAAAACATGGCAAGAAAAGAAATCTTTTAAGTCTAGGTTCTTAACAGCAGAATGACCGAGTTCCAGTCTTGGACAGGAAGTATTTATTACATACACCAGCATGCTGAGCTAGCTGTGTGGTGTTGCCCAGGTGCTGATCAGTGGCAAGAGAAACAATCTGTGTTGCCACAACCAGGAAAAGCAGCCATGAATCCAAGCCCAAAAGCTGTACTTTCAGAGGTGAATCAAAACGTGAAGCAGACCAGAATATGTAAATAGCCCCTTTCTACCTCAATCCCCCTTCCCCACCACTTCCCACAGAAGACTCACCCCACTAAAGATTCAAATGCTGGTTTCAGGAGACAAGTGTCCAGCGTGTTCCTTCGCCCCATGGCCGTAGGCGGCAGCCTGCAGAAGAAGAATGTCAAAGAAACAGCAAGAACAGGAAGGAGGTAGCAGCAGCAAGGTAGGGAAACTTGGACAATCGAAAAAAAAGACGGTTACTGAGTTAACACCATAAATTTTCACGATTGCTGCAGTCTGTTATAAAGATGGATCTCTCTCCTTGCAGTACGATTACTTTTTACTAGTAAGGCTTTGATCTCACAGTGCTGCTCCAAGGGGTCTGCAAACCTCCGTCGCTCAGCAGCAAAGCGGCCATAACCAGAGATGAGGTCTCAGGCCCACGTGCAGAGAAGTGGGACACCTGGGCTGAGCCCCGCCTGCAGCCATACCAGACGGCACCACCAGCACTGCTGGGAGGGGAGAGAGGAACAGACACCACCATATCGGGTACTTCAAGGACAATGGGATTTTGAGGCGGGGGACACAAATCATTCCTCTCGCAATAAGGCTACAGCTTACACTTGTAAGCACATTCCCGCCTTGGCGATTTAGCCCAGTCAGTAACAAATATGAAGCCCAGAAAGGAGGGTAAAGTTCAGCGTGAGCTATGTGTGCATCTGGGCTGCATTAAGCACAGAAGGATGAAATCACATTAGAACCACAAGCCAAGCAGACCATTAAGGTTAATTGCTTTTGGTAACCTCAAGTTGTCATGTGAATACTGACACTGGGAATGCACCCTATGAAATGTATCAGCTGGCCAGCTCACTGCTTTCCAGCATCAGCCTCCAAGGCTGCATTTTGCCCGAGAGCTTCAGAGAGAAGGGAGACCTGCTTTTCAACTTTAGCACAGATGCTCGTTAGTCCCACAAACCTAACTGCACCAAGTTGCTAACACAAGATCTGCTTATACACGCACAACACAAGTGAACCACACCTCCGATTTATGAAGTTTTACGCACAGAGGTTTCCCTCATGGCTCTACTAATTTTATTCAGGTATAACTCAGAATTGAAGAAATTTCAAAGCTGTAAACAAATTCATTGCTTGTTACAAAATGTCACTGTAAGTGGCCATAAATATTAACCAAACACTGGAAACATGACATGGACAAACTCCTTTCTGCGAGACACCTTACAATTGTGTTCAGAACAGAAACAGGCAATGGACACAGCTGTATAATAACCTACTGAGCAGGGAGCCCACAGGCAAAGGCTATGGATTTTCTTCTCAATCCCTCCCACCTGCCCCAAAAACAGCCAAACAAAAAAAAAACCCACAACACACCTACTGCAAAAAAGACTGAACTGCTGGACTTACTGGGTAACTCCGCTAGGCTCATAGGAAGGAGGAGCCCTCACAGAGGAAGTCTGTCCATGAAAGCTAATCCTGCAAAAAGGGAAATATGACAACAATGTTTGTGTTTATAGCAAAGCACCACAACAGAAAACCATTTGTATCAATCGTATGCTATAAAAAAGACAAACTGAGGCACATCAATCACCACAGTTAAAAGCTGTCACTATTATCTTCATAACACACACACTGGTCAGGCTTGGTTATAGCTGTGCAAAGGCCAACAGAAACTCAACTTCAATAAGCACCTTGAATTTTAGGTCCCAAGCCACACCTGTCCCCTGCAGCCTGGAGCCAGTGAGGGCTCACTTCCCACAAGGTTGCCACTGGGACTTGGCAAATACCAGCTTTTCCAGAGGTGCCCACTACACCTGCAGTTATTCCCGTATGCAGAGCAGGTCCCTCCCACATCATTTACCAGGCACCTAAGGGAACAAGCTAAAAGCCACACCTGTCCCCTGCAGCCTGGAGCCAGTGAGGGCTCACTTCCCACAAGGTTGCCACTGGGACTTGGCAAATATCAGCTTTTCCAGAGGTGCCCACTGCAGTTATTCCCATAGGCAGAGCAGGTCCCTCCCACGTCATTTACCAGGCACCTAAGGGAACAAGCTAACACTAAAGACACATAGGGTGGGGGGAGATAGAGACACATGACACACAAATAAGGTCTCTCTCCTCACCTGAACATCTATTTTCATGAAACTCAGATGGGCTTCCTATCTCTGAGGTCCTGATCTCTCCATACAACCAGGCTCAAATCAACTACTAGGTTTAAAAGTGACATGAGAGAAGGGGCAACAGGACAGAACAATCACATTCATTCCTTCACTGTATGAAGAAAACACCCAACAAACACACACACACACAGAGTAGTAACCACTTCCGTTGATTACTAGTGAACAGCTGTACAGCAACTCACATCCGCATCGCTCACAGCCATGACCATGCCTGCACTTTAAGCGAACAATGCATCACCGTACCAGTTGAGGTTGTTTCTCCACAGATTTCCATGCAGTATACCATACATAAGAGCTGCTGCCAGGATAAAAAACAGAAGAATTCGTTTCATGGCTGATAGACCTAAAATGTAAGAAAAAGCAAGAAATTTAAAACCAAGTTATGCTATTAAAATGATTGTTCATAAAGCATCTAGAAACCCACAAAAGGAAATCCAGCCATCACCACCACCACAAATTTGACAGGGGATCACTCTGGTTTGATTTCTCACACAAAGTCCCAGGGACAGGAGCTGAACGCTGCTCTGCACCCACTACATGCACATACTTTGCACCGTAACACAGAAGCATTGAGAGAGGCTCACTCTAGGTTCCCTCTGAAGGCAGAAGGGAAAGATGGGCTCTTCCAGAAGCACACCAGAGTAGGAAATCCCTGCTGTCCACTGGCAGCCCGAAGAACCAGCCTTTTGGGTGAAAAGCTAGCCTTTACAGACCTGTGCCTCTCCTCTTTCGTGTGCCACCTACTATCAGTTTCCACGATTACTTGGCACTTTGCAGGAGGCAGATAGGCTGATGCCAGTGAAGCAGAACAGGGTATGAGCTGTCACAAATTGCTACTGGCCTTTTTAGGATCACTGAATAGTCTTAAAGTCTCATTTTGGACATTTAAAGCTGCACTGAGGCTGCCCACTTATGCCCCCATGTCCTGCACTGACTCCAGCTCCTGACATAAGCCAGACGTCATTGCTCAAGTCACAGAAAAATGCTTGTTTCGCACATCGCAAAGGGAGGAGAGAAGCAAGTTCCACAGATTGGGTCCTAAGTTACGGAGAAATAGCAGAGAAAGTGTTCGTTTTTCATATAGAGTTTTCACCTCACTGCAGACTCTAGTGAAGAAAACCAGAGAAATCTCAGAAGCTTATGTGTCTGGCAAGACATGCTGGGGGAAAAGCAAGTTCTGCACTGCTCATGTCTAACACACTGAGCTGCCTTTTTAGTAGCTATGAATGAACAGTTGTTGCTTAACCCTCTGAAAGTCCAAAATAGCCATTCTGGCCACAAATTACTGTGGAAATTTACTCAAGAGCTATATACTTCTCTTAGTTTCACTTCTCCCCCTTACTATGGTAAACAGGTTCAACGCACACAGTGCATAAACACCTACTTGCACATCTGTATTTTAAAGCGAAGGTACTGAAACAGCTGCCCAGCGAAAACAAGCCACATCCAAACACACTGATGCATTTATCAAGAGTAGAGCCCTTGCTTGGGTTTTTTTAATTTTCAAATTCCACGTTGCTTTTCAGAATATTTAAAGTTGCTGTTATTTTAAACCTGTGTTAAACAGCCCTAAGGCAACAAAACTCAGGGTAGCTATAGTCCGATTCACAGCGATATGCTTTATGGTAGTAACATCTCAACGTCACACCTTGTATTAAAGGCCAAGAAACTACCAGACCACGCTGCCTTTGGTTATTAGAAACTGAGAAGCAAACTACTGTCATTCATGCAGCTTCACCTCTGAAGAAATAACCAACAGTGAACTATTTGTTACGACGCCTTGAGCGCAAATCACCACTTCCTTATTTATCCCCCTCCATCCTTCACCGGCCTTTCTTTCATTGCAGAGCTGGGGTTCTATTAGAGCATCTACCAGTACCAAAGCCATGCGATGAGCAAGACATAATCCATCAGCCTGAAGTGCATCCTCCAGTCTATCCCACTGTGTTCTGGACCTCCAGTCTATCCCACTGTGTTCTGGATGAAATACTCATAGGCTGCAGCTGTTGCAGTTCCAACCTTTCACGCCTTGCTGGGAAGTAACACTGACCCTTAACAGCTCCAGCTCCCTCAACTGGAAGAGTCACTGCAAATTTGGTTTGACAGTCATTCTTCTAGAGCAAACCCTGAGTTTTTGCGATAATTCTGTAGGAGTCTTCCCCTAAAACTGCAAGAACATTACAAAAACACTCAACTACTGGGTTCAGTCAAGTCTCAGTAACAGCAATTGGCTCATTTACTTGAAAAAGATACTGCACTCTAGTGTTTTGGTTTGGGGTTTTTTTTTTCCCCTTTCACTGTCAGTATTTTTACCCTCCTCCTGCTTTGCAAAATTTGCCAAAACATCCCACTAAAGTGGAAATTGTTTGCTTTTTACTCCCTAATTCAATCAATGCAAACTTCAGTTAAACAACAGAACATAATGGAACAGCTCTTCAGATAAAGCTGATAAATTAACAACCGATTAAAATACTGATTTTGCTGACTTTAACATAAGAGACCATTGCTGAAGCGAGGCCAAGCTACAAAACAGGGAAAAGATCAGGCAAAGCCTTTTATAAACAAAAATATTATTCATAAACAGTATTATTAACAGAGGAAAAAAAACGTTCTGTTCGTAGATTATTCACAAAGGTATTTGTACAGCCTGCAAAATATCATTAAAGCAAGAGGAGGCAAGTCAATATCCTTCTTCAAACAGGATCACAACGAACTGGTAACAACTTTCAGTACTTTCTGTAGGACATGCAGCCTGGCACACAGACGAGAAGGCAGCACCCATTAAGGGCATACCTAACGCAGCTCTTAGGAACGTAAAATAGCCCTAAATTATACAAGTGTCTTCTCACCATCCCATCCCCCAGAACCTGGCTCCGTTCAGTATTCTGAAAAAGTCCCGTAGTCAAGAAAGACTGTCTTTTTAGTGGAAGCTTTCTTAACCCGGTTTAGTAAACAGAACCATTACTTTGTTTATGGAAGATATTATTCTGGATATATTTTTAATGGTGACAGCATTTTCTAGCTCTCCCTTCCTATTTCAAAACAGCTGAGTGACATAGAAAGTTAATCAAAGAAAAACAAACTCCTACAATGCAAGTATTGCACTAGAAAATTCCCACAGCCAGAGATGGAAGAAAATAGGCAATTGAGAAGACACATCTCAGATGCAAAAATGACAGTCACGTTCCAGCCTATTTATCACATCTTCATTTAAGCTCTTCAATCTGACAGAGGTCACGGTGTCCTTTGGTCAAGGTCTGTCAGGGCTAAGCAAAGCAAGAAGGACAAATCTGGAACACAACTGTTCAATCCTCTTCCCCTTTTAAAAAGTCTTCAGTGACTCACTCAACGAAAGAGGAACCCAGCAGGCCAAGGCCTGACTTCTGGCTGTTAGCAGGTCAGTTTTCTGAAAGCAAGCAAGCAATGGGACACAAAAGTGTTGTAAAAAGATTCATGAGCATTTCCTAATATGAACCTAAGCCAACTTCCACTTTTCAACTTCCCACCCCTGCCAAAGCAGACCTGCAATTACAGAATTAGACAAAACAGATTCTGTTACGGTATTAAGAGATCTCAGACATCAGCCTGCATCTCCTATGGACAGATGGGTCTACCCCCCAGCTCCCACCAACCCACCAGAGAGACCCATTTGGGTGTATGACAAATTAGCTAATATAAGCCCAGAGGCTAATTTTTAGTTCCCTTGGTGGAGGTGGAGAACTAACATCCTTGTCAGATCTGCATCTTTACTTACAATTAGTTTTTATTCTGCCACTTCAACAAGTCTGGTATCTGATATGAGCCACTATCTCATAGCCTCCGTTTATCTTTCAATTTACATATGCATCTGATGTAGCCATGCCACTGAATAAAATAATCACGCAGGAAACGACAGCCACTGGACTGGGCAACCACATGACACACTACAATCCCCTTTTTTCACAACACTTGTAAACCTTCCTTTTGCCTTCTCGATTAAAATTAGGTTGTTAACTAATACCATGCAGGAGGCTTTTCCATCTGTCCTACTTGGTCTGTAAAGCACCTTTGACTATTACTATAGAGTTAAGTATTTAACTAAGAAGCGTTTACTACTAAATTAAATACTACTCACCTTAAAACAATCTTAGCTCCATACCTAGTCTTGTGACAGCTTAACTTCTTGCTGCTGCAATTAACCAACAGCATGAAAATTTCAGCCCACTCAGACCTCACATTCCTAGCCCTTGCAGTCGTGGGGGAGGAAGGGAAGTGAGCTTTGGAAGTGTGCTTTGAGTGGACCTTGAAATTTAAAGGGACAGGAGAAAAAGCACATAAAAACCTACCGAAGTTTAAAAATAAACATCAGGATTTTTAAGACGCAGTCAGTATTTCATGGGCTTGCTTGTGATCGCCAGTCCTGCAGCACTGCTCCCTTTTGGTCAGGAGACAGGCCATGACCAGTGAGACAGTCACCCAGCGGAAGGACAACCACAGAGGGATGTCATGTCATGGAAGGTTTGCCTCAAGTTAAGCTGCCAAAACGTGAACACATTATGACATGTACCTACATATTTCCTCTGCCAAATCTATACTCTACACATCGTTAGCTCTCCCAGTTCTTCTCTAAATACATGCATAGTTCACTAACTCTCCCCCTTTTTGGAAGGAAATGCTGTAGCAGACAATGTAATAGCACTGCAGCGAAGTCTTAGAGGTACTGAAGTGTCTGACTCAGTCTAGTGCCTCCCCTCACATGCTCCTTAATTTTTCTTTCATCATTCCCAATGCTCAATTTTAGCTTATTAAAAACCATGTTTGTTAAGGAAGGTCTCCAAAGTTTCCCCTTTCTCCAATGACTGCGTAAGACCTGAAAAGAAATAGCAAGACAAGCTTTTCCCCGAAGTACTCAACAGCAAGCAGTGATGCCCAGTAGATGTGGCATGACAGTAGTAGTGATGTTCAGCAGATTTAGTCAACCCTTGCTCTTTATCAAGTACTACAGCCAGAAACATAGCCCCTGCTGACATTAATCTGCTGGGGAGAGATGTAGAGCTGTGTCCACCTTTGACCACGGCTGCACACTGATTCAGGCCAGGCTGCAAGAGTTAACAGATAGGGTTTAGGGCCTAAGTGCTTGCATCCCTCCCTTTCATCATCCTGCTAACCGTGAAGCCTATTCTGCACCACAAAAGACAGCAATACATTTATTTGTGGACAAATCAGTATTATTTTATTCCATTTTTGTCTTTCCAGTATAGACACCAGTATTTTGCTCCTCACCAGAACATGCCCAACCAGGTGGGCGAAGCAAGGAGGAAAAGCAACCTGATCAGTGTTTTTCATTGACAAT